AGTGCTGGACCAGAGAGCTTGCAAGAAACCGTCCACAATAAGACCGGACTGGTCGAACCAAGGGTTACGAACGGGCCAGACCAGCCGAGTAGGCAACCTGGGCCGAATGAGCCATGCGGTCCAAGTGAGCCGTATGGGCCTAGTAAACCACCCGGGCCAAGCAGACCAGATGGGTCTTGTATTACGAACGGGCAAGGCGATCTGGACGGGCCGAGTAATCCGAACGGGCCAGTTGGGCTGGACGGGCCTAGTGGGACAGACAGGCCGATGTTGCCTATACACGTAGTTCAGGACGCTGAACCTCATAGTGCACATGGTTATGACAATGAAGAGATCTCAATAAACTATGTCATGTCTGGAACAAAATGGAATCGAAGAGAAATCGAGCTCGATGACATATTTGCATACAGTGTAGCACTTGAGATCATGGAAACACAAGAGGATCTAGAACCCACGTCTATGTATGAATGCATGCAGAGATCAGATTGAATCAAATGGAAAGAAGCCATAAACGTGGAGTTGAATTCATTAAGAAAAAGAGGCATTTTTGGCCCTATTATTAAGACACCTAAGGATGTCAAACCAGTTGGACATAAGTGGGTCTTTGTACGGAAGAGAAATGAGAATGGAGAAGTAGTGAGATATAAAGCACGGCTTGTTGCACAAGGATTCTCACAAAGACCAGGAATAGATTATGAGGAAACTTATTCCCCTGTGGTGGATGCAACTACATTGAGATATTTGATTAGTCTGGCAGTGAAAGAAGGTTTAGATTTACGCCTAATGGATGTAGTCACAGCATATCTTTATGGTCCACTGGATAATGAGATTTATATGAAAGTTCCAGAGGGTATTGAGCTCAAAGATAAGAAGTGTTCTCAAGAACAATATTGCATAAGATTGAATAAGGCTTTATATGGTTTAAAGCAATCAGGTCGTATGTGGTACAACAGGTTATCCGAGTACCTAGTCAAAGAGGGCTATAAGAATGATCCAATAAGTCCATGTATTTTTATAAAGAAGTTTGACAACAAAGGTTTTGTCATTATATCAGTATATGTGGACGGCCTGAATATACTTGGAACCCCTGGAGAGATTGCCCAAACAGTTGAATATTTAAAGAGTTTGAGATGAAAGATCTTGGTAAGACCAAGTTTTGTTTGGGTTTGCAGCTTGAGTATATAAAAGATGGTATCCTTGTGCATCAGAAAACATTTACAGAAAAGATACTCAAGAAGTTTAATATGGACCAGGCCTATCCATTGTCTAATCTTATGGTCGTGAGGTCCTTAGACCTGAAGACTGATCCGTTCCGACCAAAGGAGAAGGATGAGGCCGTACTGGGTCCGGAGGTGCCTTACCTTAGTGCCATTGGAGCTTTAATGTACTTGTCTAGCCACACTAGACCAGACATTTGTTTTGCTGTGAATCCACTTGCTAGATTTAGCTCATGTCCGACTTTAAGGAACTGGAACGGAGTGAAACATTTGTTTAGATACTTGCAAGGAACCAAGGACCTTGGTTTGTTCTACTCGTATCGACCAAAGGAGAGTTTGGTCGGGTACACGGATGCCGGGTACTTGTCTGACCCGCACCAGGCTAGATCTCAGACCGGCTATGTTTACATTCATGGTGGTGCAGCAATAAGTTGGCGTTCTAAGAAGCAGTCCTTGGTAGCAACATCGTCCAACCATGCTGAGATCATAGCCATGTACGAGGCAAGTACAGAACATGTGTGGTTAAGGAACATGACCAACCATATCCGAGTGAGTAGTGGTTTGAGCATTGGGAAGGACGAGCCAACAGTAATCTATGAAGATAATGCAGCCTGCATACATCAGCTCAAAGAAGGTTACATCAAAGGAGACAGAACGAAGCATGTCTTGCCCAAGTTTTTCTTCACCCACGACCTGCAGAAGGCCAATGAAGTCCAGGTGGTCCGAGTCCAGTCCAGCAACAACTTGGCCGACATGTTCACTAAGTCCTTACCGACCAAGACATTCAAGAAGTTCGTGTACCAGATTGGGATGCGTTCACTGAGTCATTTTCAGTGATGCATTCATCAGGGGGAGTATCATGTGTTGTACTCTTTTTCCTTTTCTGAGGTTTCCATTTTTCCCACCTTGGGTTTTTGGTTTTCCTAGATAAGGTTTTAACGGGGCAACATTAAGCATGGTACAAGCCCATACGGTTAGGCCATTCAAGGGGGAGTGTTATGGACGAGTTTATGAATGGGCCTTAATCATTAGTTAGTCTTAGGACCAGCCCAAGGTCGTGACCCAATAGTAGTATAGGCGGCTGGGTCCTATTTCCATTCTTATGTATTTCCAATTCCTTGTTACTTTAGGAATTGGATGTTTTCTATTTATCTTATTCTTGTAACCCATATATATATGGAACCTCATAAGAAATAAGAACACACAGATTTCATCTTGGTTTACAACAAAAGAAACTGTTGTAAGTTGTAAGTAAAAAAAAACGTAGAGCTTGAAATCCTAGTAGTGTTTAAAGGCGAGTGCCGGCGGTGCGAAAAGCGAGCTGAAAATGGCTGGAGGCAAGATAAGGAAGGAGAAGCCCAAGGCACCATCAAACCATTACCAAGGAGGAGTCTCCTTCCACAAATCGAGAGGACAACATATCCTCAAGAACCCTCTCCTCGTCGATTCAATCGTTTAAAAAGCAGGTATTAAAAGCACCGATGTGATTCTCGAGATCGGTCCAGGTACTGGTAACCTGACGAAGAAGCTTCTGGAAGCTGGTAAAGAAGTCATCGCTGTGGAACTCGATTCTCGTATGGTCTCGAGCTTCAACGCCGTTTCCAAGGAACTCCTTATTCTAACCGCTTAAAGGTAACACAATAACATTTTATCGTATTGGCTCTTGTCTGTTTATTGCTTGAACTAATGTTGTCTGTTTTGTTGTGTATTAAGGTAATCCAAGGTGATGTGTCAAAGACGGAGCTTCCCAGGTTTGACATATGCGTGGCAAACATTCCGTACCAGATTTCATCTCCTCTCACGTTCAAGCTTCTCTTCCACCCAACAAGCTTCAGGTGCGCTGTGATCATGTACCAGAGAGAGTTCGCCATGAGACTCGTTGCCCAACCTGGTGACAACCTTTACTGCCGCTTATCAGTCAACACTCAGCTGTATGCCAGAGTCTCCCACCTCCTCAAAGTTGGCAAGAACAACTTCCGCCCACCTCCCAAGGTGGATTCTTCTGTTGTTCGAACCGAGGAAGCCACAGCCTCAGGTCAACAAGAAGGAGTGGGACGGGTTCTTAAGAGTGTGTTTTATGAGGAAGAACAAAACTTTGGGATCTATTTACAGGCAAAAGTCTGTTCTTTTAATGCTGGAGAAGAACTTCAAGACTCTGTAGGCGGTGCTAGCTTCGGTGAATGGCTCTACCGGAGAAGCTGGGGGAATGGATCTTGGTGATCAGAGCATCGGGATGGAAGATGATGATAACGAAATGGATGATGATGATGATGTGGAAATGGATGAAGGACAAGGAGGTGAGTTTAAGGAGAAGGTTATGAATGTGTTGAAGGAAGGTGGGTTCGAGGAGAAGAGGTCGTCCAAGCTATCACAACAAGAGTTTTTATATCTTCTTTCGTTATTCAACAAGTCGGGTATTCACTTCTCATAGACTAATATTATATGTTATGGGTGGAAAAGTTTTGTCCTCTTATTTTTTAAAGGTTATTGACTTCTCTCACGAAAGGAGAAAGTGTACCCTGTTTTTTTATCCTTCTAGTTTGTTTTAACTAAGAAATGATGAGAAGATTGATCTAAATTTTCTGTTTGGGTTGAGACTCAAAGTTTATCAAGTTATTTGAGTCATACTTTGAACGCATATGCAGATGCTCAGAACGTTGACTTAACTTTGTATGGTAGTTCTTGGAAATAGATTAGCTGGTTACCTCTAAAAACTAACATTGCTCAGTTTTTTGTTATTTTAAAAAAAAAATTATGTCCCAATAGCTTTTAAATCTGACAGTTCTTATTTATCACCAACCAATCAATCAATACTCATGCCTGAATAAAACGTCGAGGTCTATATAGTGAATGGTGTAGCAGATCATTGACAGATGTCCTGCACACTGGTATTTTATGAACTGCATTTACCAATCACAACTTTTATGTATTTCGGAAGAAAATGCAAGAGATCTGCCCAAAAGTAAAATTTTTTGTCCTTTTCTGAGTAAAAGTAGGTGTCCTGCATGTGCTTCTACCACCTCTACTTTTGATTCAGTTCAACGATACCACCAACTTTTCAGCCAATAAAAAATTTTTAATAGAATAAATTAATTCTCTAAATATTAGTTCACCTCTCTATAAAGAAAGTTCATTGCAGTTTTATTATTTGTTCCATAGATCTATCAAAGAAAGGTTCTAGATAGCAATAAAAAAATCGTATGTTGTGTAGTATGAGAGTTATCGTTGTAGTGCTGTCTTGTGTTGAGCATATTGTCTTGAGCATCATTCCTCTTCAACGTAAGTTTTTATAATTTTATATTATATATATTATTTAGACAAATAAAACTGTATTAATAATTGAAAAATTGTATAGTTAACTGGAAAAAGATTCTTTGTTGTAGGGGGGATTTAGAAAAAGGTTTTCAGTCATTACCTCCAACGTAAGGTAAGAACAATTTTTAATTTTATTATATTTATTTAATTATATATGTATTAATTTTGATCAAATATAATATATTTTAATAACTGAAAATATATTATATGTAATTGGAAAACTCTATATGTATGAAATATATTTTAGGTTTTTAAACATTTTATATTTGGAGTTTTATCAATAAAATATACATGTAAATAAATAAAATAACTGTATATATATTAACTGAAAATGAAAATGTGTCATATTTTAATTAAACATATTAAAATAAAAAATGTATACATATAGATATTTTCTTAAAATAATCTTAATGTCAACTTACTGAACTAATTTTTTCCAGTTCACTTCTTTTTATTTTATTTATATACTATACAATAGTAATTGTAAATATAGAAGATTTAATTAAAAATATTTATATCTTTAGTGTATTTTATAAGTTGACTTATAATACATGAATGTAAATATATATTTATATTATAAGGTAGATATACGTATTAACTGAAAGTATAAAATATGTAACATTTTAATTCATACATAGTAAAAAAACAGTATATATATATATATATATATTCCAAAAACTAATTTAGTATTAAAAAATTGATATAGTTAGTGTAAAACAGAAGTAAGAGTAAATTTATTTACATATATATATATATACACTTAACAAAAGCAGTTTAATATAAGTATTATTAAAATAAATTTTCTCCTTAAATTTTTTGAAATTAATATGAAAATGTATTAATCAAAAATAATGAAAGTGTTTTCTAACAAATTTTTCATATTATGTGAACAACTTTTTTTGTCAAAATTTGTAAATTATAATTGTATGAATAATGTTAAAGAAATAATATAATTATATATTTATATGGTAAAAAAAATCTATAGAAATTAGTCTAATTGCACATCTATACTATTATTTGCGAAGTGATTTTTCGCAACGAAGCTCTCACGTTAAAAGTTGGAGTGGTTAATATCGTTTATACCCTTAATGAAAATAATATATATATATTACATATAAAATAAAAACGAATTTTAATTATTTTAATCTAAAATTAATAATAATCATAAGAACTATCCAAAATCCAAATAATATCTTTTTAAATAAGATAATTCTGATATATATTGTGATGTTATCTGAAAATATATTTGATAAAAAAGTTAACAATTAAAACAATAGAAAATATATAACTAAATATTAATCAAGTAACCTTCTTCTTTTTATATTACTGAAAACATATTATTTGATCTTAAAATTATTTTTAATAGTGAACATAAATTACAAAGAAATATATGTAAGAATTTTTAAATGAAAGTATAAATATTATTGGTTTCAAAAAAGTAAACACAATCAATCCTTAATATTATTTGATCTTAAAATTACTTTTAATAGTGAATATAAATTACAAAGAAATATATGTAAGAATTGTTAAATGAAAGTATAAATATTATTGGTTTCAAAAAATAAAACACAATCAATACTTTATCACTATAATCTTTCAATTAGTAAAAAATGTATTAATAAAAACGGATTTAAATTATTTTGACTATTTAAATAATTAAAATTAATAATAATCATAAAAACCATCCAAAATCTAAATAATATTTATTTAAATAAGATAATTCCTATATATATTGTGTTGTTATCTGAAGATATATTTTCCGAAAAAATAGATATACATAATTAAAGATTAATCAAGTAAACATCTTAATTTTATATAATTGAAAAAAAAAATTATTTTTATTTTAAGATGATCTATTTTTAGTAGGGAACATAAATGTACAAATAAATACATGTAAGAATGTTTAAATGAAAATATAAATATTATTGATTTCAAAAAATAAAACATAAATAATACTTTATCATTATAATTTTTCGATAAGTAAAAAATGTAATAAAATAATTATAAAATGTTTAGGCCCGCAAGTGCAGGCAAAACACCTAGTTAAATTATATGTTAGAAGAAGAAAATATTTAATTCGTCAACTAAGTTTTTCCAGTTAGTTCTTTTTATTTTATTTATATACTATACAGTAGTAATTATAAATATAGAATAGTTAATTAAAAATCTTATATCTTTAGTGTATTTTATAATTTTACCTATAATAAATGCATGTAAATATATATTTATATTATAAGGTAGATATATTTATTAACTGAAAGTAGAAAATATGTAGCATTTTAATTCATACAAGTAAAAAACCAATGTATATATATAAATATTTCCCAAAAATATACATTTAGTATAAAATATTTCTATAATTAGTGTAAAACAGAAGTAAAAATTAATTTATTTACATATACACACACATGTATAAATATATATATATATATATATATATATATATATATATATATATGCATAATTATTTAAAAAAACAGTATAATATAAGTATTGAAAAAAAAATTAATAATTATTTCGAAATTATATGTATACCATATACATGTAAATTATTAGAATACTACTTTATAGATGTATCATATGGAATAAGATATGTGTTACACTTTAATTTAATTAAAATATAAAATATATACATGTTAGAAAATATTTATTTAAGAAAACTATACTATAAATATTAGAAAAAGTATTCAATATTCATTTAGAAATTACTCTGATTTCTTTTGTAATCAACCAAATAATAAAGATTGGATTACATTTAATCAATCAAACTAATATTAGTTATTTTAAAATTGTAGATATGACGTCAAATCGCCGACAAAATATAACATTTTCCGATGAAGATGTGAATTTACCTACAGAAACGTAAGTACGGGTAACTACTTGATAAATTTTTAAATATTATAGAATAATTAATAGTAAAGTCAAATGATTGTATTCTTTTAAAAAAAATTAGAGGGAAGACAATTTTAGATGGAATCCTAACCGAGAACGAGTGTTTATTGAGTTGTACGATCGAGCAATTGCCATGGGTGATTACCATTTCAAACATCCTACACCCACTGGTAAAGAGTTTCTCGCTGATAAGTTCAACCAAATGTTTAATAGTAACGTAAACTACCGGTTCTACAAAGAAAAGCTTGATCAACTAAAAAGAAAATACAAGAAGTACAAGCATCTTATGAAAAATTCTACGGGCATTTCGGTTGAGCCCACGACATCTGTGATATCTGCGTCTGATTCATGGTGGAAGGATCGTGAAGTAAGTACAACAAAATCTAATAAAACCAGCATAAATTTAATAAATGACCAAATCTATAATATTTGTGGTCTTAAACCTATATAATTCTATTAACATGTAGACATGATTGTAAAATCATTTAAACGAAAGCCGCCGGAGCATTGGGATGTGATGCAACGATGTTTCATTTTATATGACGTCCAGTCACAATCTCAATACTCTTTGCACCAAAGAAGAGAAGAGTTGATGAATGATCGTCAAAACAATGATGAAGGTCACTTTTACTCTGAAACATATGGTGGTGATATGCAACACACTCAGGTTCCTGAAACACAAGAAAATGAAGAAGTCGATCGTGTTAATATTGATGATGAAATGCTTCCTTCAAATGATTTCTTCCCTCAGAATTCTTCACCTACTTCTGACCCTTTTCAGATTCCTACTTCAAGAGCTCAACAACGAAGTAGACTAAGGCGTGGAAGTAGTTCACAAAGAAGTGCAGGAAATTCTCGGACCTCTGTCAGAAGTGGATCCCAAGGAAGTCGAAGAAAACAATCATTCGAGACAACCTTGACTGGCTTTAGAGAGTTTCAATACCGAAGTTTACAACAACTGCGTCCAAATTGTTTTGATGAAGATGATTATAATGAATTCGATACCGCTATGAAGATATTCAAATCAATGGGGCTACCAAATGACACCAATTTCTATTGGGCATGCATTCATGCATTCAAAGAAGAAAGATTTTGGCGCAAGTGCTTTATTGACAGAGCGGAAAGAAACACAGAAGAAAAATTGAAGTTTTTACAAGCTCTTACTAGATATACGCGGGACAGCGAATATGTGGGAAAGCGGTTAGAATCTGAGCAAAAGTTTGG